AAGTTAAGTCGAACCAAATCATGAACTCCTTGACTTTAACACTCGCTACAAGAAAATACACATTTAGTGATAGCGCAAATGGTCACTAAAAGCATTAAATTTAGACACTAAAATATACAATGACAAAATCTTCAAGTTGTCACTAATAACCCTATCACTATTACATTAGTGACAATTATTTTAAAAACTATCACAATTGTTCTTTTTTTTTATGATCATCTATTTGACACAATTATTAATATAAACTGTGATGATCTTTTTTGACACTAAAAATATATTTTATGGCCATCAATATTGTCACACTAAGTATTTTTTAGTGACCAAATGTTTGATACTATTATCAATATAAACTGTGATAAATTTATTTGACACTAAAAGTTTATTTTGTGATCACCAATGTTGTCATAGTAAGTGTTTTTAGTGACCATATATTCGATACTATTAAAAATAACTCTGTCACTATTATATTAGTGACGACTTTAATGAATTGTCATAATTACTAATATTTTTTGTGACTACGTTTTTTGACACATAAATATTAATAACATGGACGAAAATTTAAAAACTAATATCATCCTTATTAGTGACAAATATCATCCTAGCCACTATGATGAGAAAGAAATATATGTTGTTGATAAAAAATAATATTTATTAATATTTATGTTAAACTTGCAACACCCTACACCGATACGACACACAGTCGACCGATTTAAGGTGCTACACGGAACCACCGATGTGGCTAACCAACTTTAAACTTACATTCCTGTACTTTAAAATACTCTTTACATCTGAAAGCCCTCAAGATATATAGATACATACATACATGTTGACTCTTAACTGACTTTACAACTCAATACAACTGAATTCATGAATATACATACCATTTAAGAAACTGGATGACGTACTATACTCTGCACTGGATCTGGACCTCGGTCACTCTAAATCTTTTCAAACTGGATGGATCTACTAACCTGCCCATGGAAAAATTAGCTCAGCGTCACACTAATAACTAAAACATACTAAAAGCATCACTGAAAAGCTCAAGTTATCAAGTCTACTGGTATAAGGTCTATTGTTATTTGTTCTATTATCTGCTATGTTCTACTAGCCCACTCCTTGAGTGTTGGACCTTGTGCCCAAGATAGTCTGCTTTAAAACTACTTTAGTAAGTATTCTTGAATACTTACTCTCTAAGATATGGTAGACATTATGGTGAAGCTGATGGTTCTGCATCTCGAAGCTCATACACCCCTCTAGTCTACCCTGGATATGGCCCATGAAATTCTCTGCATCAGAAACCATACCCCTGACTAACCCAACCTTTATTCTAAAAGGTGTTAAGGCATCGACAAACATAATTAGTTAGAAGGGCCTCGACCCTACCTAAAAATATCTAAATTGAATATATATTGTCATATTCTAAAATGTTGGGGTATCTCGAGCCTAAAATGCTCAAAAATGCCTTTACTTCTCAAAATAGACTGAAAGTATCGATATTATCCCTGGAGTATCGATAATCTTACTAAAGTTTTGATACTTTATATAAGTACCGATACTTTTTAGCCCTCTGTTATGGAAAGTTTTGATACTTGCCTGGGAGTTTCAAAACTATTCCTAAAGTATCGATACTGTTGTAAGAGTATCGATACTCCTACCTAGAAAACACGTATTTTGCTTGAAATGATTAACAAGTATTGATACACCACCTGTAGAAAACATATTTTCACTCAAAAATCTCCTATTCATCTAACCCAAAGATCTTAGTTAGGTCCCCAAATGTTCTTAAAGTCTTATATGATTAAAGATGAGCACAAATAAGGCTTTACAATGTACTTAAACATCAAAACATGAAACCTACGATGGTCATGCAACACTAAGCTTTATAATTAACTCTCAAGCTAGAAAACATCTCTAATGATCACTATGAGTATGAAAGGGTTTATAGTGTATTACCCAACTCATTGGTTGCTAAAATCTCCCTCAACTCAACTAGGAGTCACCTTACCTTTATTGTTTGCTTCAAAACCCTTTTTCATATCTTTAACTAAACCAAGCAAGGAAATGGATTACTATTCAACTAAAGGTTAGATTAAGCTTAAATACAACTCCTACAACTCAAATCTACCCAAAAACAATGTTAAAACACTTGATTTCTCTTAAGTCCCAAAAACCCATTTTGAAATCTTAACTCAAAACCTATGATTTAAGGCTTAAAAAGAAGATTAAGGGAAAAAGATTAAGGTTCTTACCTTAGTTTCTTCAAACTAAACTTGGAACTCTAAAAACTTGCTCCTTTTTGGCTTATTCTAGAGAAGGAAAAAGAAATGAGAAGAGAAGATGAAGATGAAGAAGAATAAGATACTTTTGGGGAAGGTTCTTATGAAATCCATCTAAAGAAGGGGGTTTATAACTTTTAAAACCAACTATGGGTAAACTACTCTTTCGATCTCTCTCCTTTTTACCTCTACTTAAAACCATCATTTACCCTTAACTTTTGGGCTTTACTTAAGCCCAATACCTATATAACTTGGTCCAACTATCTTGGGAAGTTTAATTGGCTTGACTTAAAGGTCTTGGGTTGACCAAGCTATTGACTCAAGTTTCGGGGCATTACAATTCTCCCCTCCTATAAGAAATTTTGTCCCTGAAATTTTCCTATAGAAAGGTCTTTCTCTGAAACTCTACTGTGCATCTATGACAGATCTTGACTGCTAGAATATATAACTTAAGGGCTAGAAACTCAAACCCCTATATTAAGATTATCTGCTAAAACTCTCTCTTTAATTGGAAATCCTTATGGCACTCTACAACTCACTGCTAATACTAAATCTTTTCTTTACTATCCTTACTTAATTGGGTTAACTTACAGTACAACCTAATAACATCTTTTATCCACTGGGTTTAGACAACTCTGAGACCTTATGGCACTTGCCAACTATTCTACTAAAATAAGCCTTTATGCTTTTGTTGCGCAACTCTAATCTAATACTCATATACACTAACTAATTGCTTCATCGACTTTATGGTTTCTCTATGAAACCTTCACTAGAGAAAACCTTTTGTGCCCTAATGGTCGACATAAACTCTAAACCCTTGGGCTTCTCACTGAACATCACTATCTTACTCTTATCTTCCTTTCTAAGATTAAGCTATCGAACTTACACTTTAAACCCACATCTATTGTGGACTAAGCTCTCTACTATTATAGATGCAGAAGTACGACATAACTCTATAGGGCATGTATACTCATAAACTCCTTATTGACATTGATCGACTCTGACCGACTCTGACCTATGGGTCCTAGAAACGTAAATCTTGATGGTCTGATATCACTAAATGTAACACCCTAAACCGTTTACGACATACAGTCGACCGATTTAAAGTGTTACACGAAACCACCGAAATGGCTAACCAACTTTAAACTCACTTTCTTGTACTTTAAAATGACTCTTTACATCTGAGAGCCCTCAAAATATATAGATACTTACATACTGACTCTTAACTGACTTTACAACTCAATACAACTGTTTTTTGCAAAATTCACATATATATATTCATAAAGATCATAAATTAAATATAAAAATTAATCAATTATTTTGAAAAAAACTAATCATAATTGAATATTAAATGGAACTACCAAATCTTATAGTATTGTTGATCATTTATTTCGTTAATAAAAATAAAATTCATAATAATATAAAAATATATTTAAAAAGTTAAGGTAATTTTTATTATTCATTTATTATTCATATAGTAATTGTACAATTTGGATGGTCATTGAAATTTAAAAATTTAAAGTATATACAACTAAAAATAATCAAATTAGAGCATAAGAAGAATAAAAAAAATTACCGTTTGAAAAACTTGTTTTATCTTAACAACAATTTTAATTATTAATGGTGTCAATATTTATCACAACAAAAAGTAAAATTTTAAGTAGCAAACAACTTTGTTGTTACAATAAATATCAAATAATAGTGATCACTTTATATATCATCATTATCATATCATTTCTCGCCAATGAAATAATTGTACCAATTTGCATATTTAATAGTATCAAAACTTTTGTGACGGTGAAATTTATATCACAATTATATACTTGTAGTGAGAATTTAATTGTGAGAAAAATATAATCATCATAGTTATTACTATAATGTGATGAAATAAAAATACATGACACTTGTTTTATTAATAGTGTCGTACAAAAATTTTGTCACCATAAGTTTAATATTTGTGACAAAATAACTAATAATCACTATCAATTTGTCGGTAAAAACTTTACGCTTGTACTGATACTTGTGACGTAATTTAAGACTGTAACAAGTATACCATTATAAAATGGTAAACTTACTTGTAAAAAAAATGTTATTGTCACAATTATGAATAATAATAATAATGACCATTTAATATGTTATAACTATTACATCGTTTCTTAATTAAAAAATGTGACGTCAATTCAAACATTTTATTAGTGACTAAATACAAGTAGGACACAACTATTCACTTCAATAGTGATAAAAAGTATTGTCGTCACAAATCACTAACTAAGATTAGTGAAAATCAATTATCGTCATAAATCACCAACTAAGATTAGTGACAAAAACAATTAACGTCACAAATCACCAACTAAGACTAGTGACAAAATTTTTCATCACAATTATAAATATTAATAGTGACTACGTAATAAATTGTCACAATTATAATTTTTCTCTCGAAAAAATAAGTTGGAGCCAATTTGACCCATTCTATTACTGACCAATTGATAATGACAACTTGCTTTGGTCACAATAAAATACTATTAGTGACAAATTACTTGTGTTGAGCTTCAAAGTTGTCACAATTATTATCTAAAGAGTGACAAAATAAAAATAAGTCACAATTACTCATTTTAAAAGTGAAAAAATAATTTTTCATCTTAAATAATATACTTTATGTAACGAAAATCTATACTTTATGTAACGAAAATCTTTAATGTCATGATTAAAGGATCAGTAAAAATCTTAATTCTTATAATGACCCGTCAGGTTCCTGATCTTGTTGGTCTCAAAATATGCCTCGATTTTTGCATCGTACCTAACGACGACATTATCGAACATGGGGAGGTTGTCCCTCTTCGACGTCGTTTTGTGTCGGCACAGATGTCGGAGCCAAACAAAGCCGTTATCCTTGACCTGACCGTATTCGTGTATGTCCTGGAGAGTTAGTAGCAAGCCCTTTGGTAACCCTTTTTCTTCTAACAACGATGTGAGCTTCTCTGTGCATGTTTCGTTTCCATGGTAAACTTTGGCTTTGGACTTCATTTCCTCTGTTACCAGATGAATCGGCATTTTTAGGGTTTTTTCTCTTTTCGGACAAAGGGATTTGAATTTCGAGGGGTTTGAGGTTGAAGATATGGAGTGTTGTTATTGGTGTTTCAGCTCAAATGGAACTCCTTTTGTTTATGGCAACTTGGGAGCAACGTGGTCGTTCTCGGCAATGTCCCCAAAATTTTGGTTAGGTCAAATTATGAATTTGGTCATTTTACTATATTTCACATTTGGAATTTAGTGTATGTACTTCAATTTAGCTTGATTTTATCCTTTATTTTTGTTCTTACTGTGCTGATATGGATTATTAAAAAAATACCATTTTATAGTTGAGATATTAAATTATGTTAATTTAACTAATTAGATTAAAAACACCCTTTTGATTTGAAATATTATCTTAATTTTTTTTAATTCAAATAAGTGCTTAAACTAAGTTCTTTTTTTACTTCAAATTAAAGTCAAGTTCAAACACCAATTTAAACCAAAAATCAAATTCATATAAGAAAAGTTCAGATATCAAATTCAGCCTCAAAATATTATTTCATATTATTTATATTGTGTATTTTAAGTAGAGGGGTTCATAAATCCAGTCAAATTTAAAATGAGTTTATTTATGATGTTAACATTTTATTATTATCTAATTCTAATCTAACACAAAATATAAAATTTAAATTGTATCTAACTTTGTTTTATATTTATATTATTTATATTAACTCGAGATTTTTGTGAGGAAAAGCATTCTTTTAACTTGCTTAATATGAGATGATTACAAGATAGTATCTGTTTAAAAAAAATTAACTATTTTATAATGAATGTTCAAAACCCCCATGAACGATGCACTCAAATTCAAAACCTTTAAAAATAATAGCTATCTTTTTAATCACTAAAATTACTTAATTCGTGCATATACATTTTACTTAAATAGAGACAACTTAACATGTATAATTCTGGGGTAAATTATGTTTTTAATGCCTAAACTATCAGTTTTGATATGTTTTAGTACATAAACTTTTAATTTTTCAAAACTATACCTAAAATTTAGTTTTTGTTTCATTTTAGTAAACATGTTCAAACATTAAAGTTAAGTTTTGGAAAAAAAAATGAAAGTTTAGGTACTAAATGTGTTAAGTTTTTAACGGCGAGATACTAAAATGAAACAAAAACTAAATGTTATGTATGATTTTGAAAAAAAAAATAAAACTTTAAGTATTAAAACGGACCAAACTGATAGTTTATGACTGAATTCATAGTTTATCCTACAATTTTAAGGTTTACAAATAAAATTTTAAGGGTAAACTACACGGGTGACCACCGAACTATGGTCATAAACCATTTTGACTACTAACATTTGGAAAAGATCAATCAGACCACCCAATTTTTTAAATGGTTCAATCGACCACTCTCCGTTAAAAAAATAACAGTGAGTCCAACGTGGTTGTTATAAACTAACGGTGAGGCAGATGGATGGTTTTTATATTATTATTAATGCCAACTTAAAAATAATAAAAGATACTTATTAATGGGTGATTAATACCCAATTAAAAAAAGAAATAATAAAAAAAATTATCCTCAGACGGTTCATTATCAAAATGGGTAAACACTGAGTTTTTTCATCCATTTCGTGAAACGTTTGAAATCTCTCAACGCTGGATAAACACTGGGTAATTTTCTTGAGAGAAATTTAGAGAGATTCTGAGAGTAAACATTGGGTTTTGTCTGGGCTTCAGGGTAAACACTAATTTCATCGAAGATTCAACAAAATGAGTAGTAGAAATCATCGAGATGAAAAAGAATCAAATCTGAGATATGGTAAGTGTTTCTTTGTTTAAAACTCTTCAACAAATGTTTCTTCTTTTAAAGATTTCTTCGTTTAAAACTCTTCTCAAAAAAAGTTTAAGAGTTTGTTGTGTTTAAAACTCTAGAAATATGTTTAGGGATTTTCCTATTTAAAAAGGTTTAGGATTTCTTCTGTTAAAAGTCCTTTATAGAACATTTTAGTAAATATGTTTAGGGGTTTCTTCTGTTAAAACTGTAATACTCCAAATTTTTGTTAGTGACCAAAATGTAACTTTTGAAAGTTTGATGGTCAAAGTATAAATTTGGAAAATTTTAGGGAATTAAGTGATAAATTTCCTAAAAAGAATTTTATTCCATAAATAGATAGTTTACTCTTGAGAGTGAAGTTTTATAGAAATCATTTTTTTTGATTTGGAATTTTAGTAAAGAAAAATTAGAAAGGGTTAAAGTCCGGTAAGGAATCGGTAATTCAGATCGAATTAGAATTTTACAAAAATTTGAAGGATGTTATAAAATAGTTAGAAATATTATTTTAATATTTTAGATCAGAGAAATTTGATTTGGAAGTGTGCAATTTTTCAGATTGAACCGAAACAGTGGAATTTAGTGACTAAAATGCAATTTTTAAAAAATGCATGGGAAATTTTGTAAATCAAAGTCAAAATAATTCATCTTTGACTTTGGAAGATGATAAGGATGAGTTGTCATGGTTTTATGGTGAATAGGAAGATTCATTAAGGGTGTTTTGGTCTTATCTCAATTAAATGAATATTTTATTCATTTATAGTGGAATTAAATGTAAACTAATATGAAATGCACCCAACATCTCATCCAAATTGCTCATCTTCTTCTCCAAGCTGCGTGGGTTTCTCCAAAGATGAGAGAAAGCTTCAATTCAATTTTTAAGCAAATTCATTTGGATTTTGAGTATGCCGTAAATAGAAAATTGTTATACGCGAAAAACGTTATCATTTGGTACCAATATTGCATGATAATCTTGTTAGTGATCAAAGATCTCAAATTCTACAGTTTGTGTTCATATAAGGGATCATGAAATTAATGATGAATCTTGATGTTTGTGAGGTAGTTTATTCATATTCAAGCATGTATGATGATTAGAACATGCTTAATCTTTCTAGAACTTGCTCTTTAAGTTTTGGCCATGAATTGTTTGAGTGAGAAAAATTATGGAAAAATTATATATGGGTTGGAAATGATGAAGGAAGTATTCTACAAGTCTTAGAAAAAATTGGGGACCATTTTGTAATTTTTGAAAAGTTGGGATCAATTCGGAAACTTTGGAAATTGATGGGTTGTTGTGTAAGTGTTGATGTACTATGCTGAAAATTTTTGGTATTAAGAATCTAAGTGATAAAATGGTGAAGGACCATTTTATATAAGTTGAAAAAGTTGGTGACAAGATTAAAAAGAATTAATAAGTGTTTAAATATTTGGTGGAAAATGAGTTTCAAGTATATTATGGAGTTGTTATGGGATATGTTTATGTTAGTACAATACTAACATATGTATTGTTATGAATTTGTGATTTATACAGATGTGATTTATTTGTGATCGAAGCAAGTCAAATAGAAAAGGGTTTATTGTGGACAATAGTGAGGCACATATATTTTGGAATTTATAGTGTCAAGGTGAGTGCAATACATGCATGACATTATACATGGATGTTTTTGTACATCATCAGGACGACTTTTGATAAGTCGACATTGTTTATATCAGCATGATATTATGTCATATTTTTATAAATTTGATATGACATTGATATGTCATAGTGTGAAATTTTAATGCATTGATCATGAATAATGAGATATTTTACCATGAATGTTTTCGGGTATGAATTGCCCAATGCTAAATATTGATAATATACTTTGCCATGGATGGATCAAATAACATAGATTGTATACCCAAATAAGTCATTGAGGAACAAGGTATAGTTGGCATGCCATAGAGTCCAGCAGCAGGCTACATATTCGGGAATACACTAAAGGATACCTAGTGTATATGGTGGGCACGACCTTATGTGTCATATTCGGGATTGTACTTAAGGATACATAGTACAGATGGTGGACACGACTTTATGTGTCATACTCGGGTTAGCACTACGGTGTAGGTATTTGACTAGCGTACCAGGGTCCTCAGGGTGTTAAATTGGGTTATTGTCTATGGTTTATAGATTATTGGTTAATAAATGGTAAGCATGAAAATAAGCTTACGAGCTTATGGAATAAATGACAAGTATATTGGTAAGAAATTTTATATTCATATATATTATTTTGATCATGGTAAAATACTGGATATGCTATTAACATGATTTTATGGCATTTGATTTTGACATTGAATTCATGCATGAATTGTATTGCACTGTTTATTGTTTTAATTGCCTCACTAAGTATATACTTAGCGTGTGATGATTTTCACGTGTAGGTAAAAAGCCTATAGTGGAATAAAGAGTTCAAAGCGACATCAGCATCTAAGAGTATATTTCAATATCAGTAAGACATCCTATGATGTAATGTTGACTTTACTAGTGGCATGTAATTATTAAAGTCATATTTGTTATGTTGAAATATGTTTAGATATAACAATTTGTGGAAAAGAAAATGGAAATTTTATAGTTTTTATGAGTTTTATATATATTTTGCTGAAATTATTGTAGCAGTGAACAGTAATGAACAATACACACGCTTAAAAATTTCCAGAATGCTACAGGGGTACTGATACCCTGCTACAGGTATCGATACCCTCACTGTTCACTGTTCAAGGTATTATTCATAAAAAATCTTTTGAATTAAATTGGTTATAAAGAAACATAATTCATATGATATGATATTTTTATAATATCAGTTACCATATTAAGAAAATAAATTTTAAATCGCTTTTGAATTGAGAAATGGTTTTAGAAATACGGGTGACATCTATAATCTGTATAGGTATAATTATACGGGTTATGGGTGTTACAAAAACTCTTCTATGAATTTATTATGTTATAAACCCTAAATTTATATGAATAATATGTGTTGAGTATATATGTGTTTATTATGTTTACTAGCTCTTTGTTTCTGATATATATTGATAATTTGTTTGCATGAATAAGATATTGCTAGAAATATGTTTTTGTATGAATTCAGTGAATCAAAATCACTTTTGCAGTTAACATGATATTTAACTTTACAATTGTTGTGGTCCCCCACATGGTCTGTGCATTA